GAAGGTCAAAGCTTCCGCCTGAGGTATATTTTACCATGTCCTAAATTTGAAATGTTGCCCTCATGATGTCAGTTATCTTGAAGATCATTCAGTTTTGTTGAATGCTACGTACGTTTGCCCTAAAGTCAATTACTGATGAGAAATTACAATGCATGTGAAGTTGCCGCTCGATAAGACATTCCTTTTAAGTAGTGATTTAGAGGCTGTTGAGAAGAAAATAGAATAAAGCTGCATGGAATTTCATGTCTTCAAAGAAATGGGTCAGTGCCGTTATCATATCTTCTTAAGTATAAACAACAAAGGGCCACATATATACACCAATTTTAACGATCTGAAAACAAAATGTCACATTTCTTGGCATTACATATGAGGAAGATATGAGGAATTGTTTTTAATTGGTACGTGAACTGAAGTAAAAATTCTCTACTTTCATAAGAAATAACGAGGAGAAATGCCTGTTTTTAGGCATCTCATGATGTCTTGTTGCGATGCTTGATTTTTAAGCCTGTCAAGAGTCACGAACAAGAAGAATGGATACGGTACTTTAAATTTTAATACAGTGATTTCGTCCTTCTTACTTCTTTTCAACGAAGTTGTAGAGACATTAGATATTTTTTTGGAAGCAGGCAAGATGAAAAATTAGCAAACGCTTCGCCGGAATTTGAACCACGCACCTCTGGAATACCGGCCCAGCGTGCAGAACCACTACACCACAAATGCACGCTAAGAAGGCGGGAAAAATACCTTATAAAGTAAAGGAAGTATTGTGACTGTGAAATATTTCGAGTATTATATTTTAACAGAAATATCTATTTTGACTACTCCTGAACCCATTTGGATGATTCTCTTGCATGATGTCTGTACGTAAGGACATATTAAAGGACCTTTTTTTTTTTCGAAAATAGATTTTAAAAGGGGTTTTAAAAGAATTCGAAAGAGACCTCCTTTTCGTGAGGTTTGTACGTACGTTGTGTGTGAGACTCTGTAGCGTTTAGTTATTCATCTCCCTTTTTTTATTACAATCAGCAGTATATATATAGATATATATACTCATATACTTCCAATTATAGAAGTGTTTGAAATGACAAAAACATTCATGTTTTGACAATGCCACGCTTAGAAAAAAAAATAACTATATACGAAATCTAAAATTTAATGCGTTCTCTCGCTCCCTATCTTTACAATATTTGGAAAAGTTTTCTTTATGAAAATAAAATTAAAATAAATAAATAAATAAATAAAAAGTTTGACTCCCGTATAACAAAAATTAACTGGAATATTTAGTTTCACAATTCGCAGTTTTTGACGTCATTTTCAACTTGCGTTGAAGACTCGGTTAATGAAGTTAGAATGATTCGAGGAAATAAATTTAAATGAAATGAAGCAAAAAATGTATACAATTTAATGGCCATACAAGGAAGTCATGTGGTGGCCGCATCAGAATTTTTTTTATTAATATTAAAAGTTACTATTAGTCTCGAAACTGATTTTTTGTCCATATCACTTTTGTGCCCGAATTACTTTTCAAATTGTTGCCACCAAATGTTTTCCCCGTGTGCAGGGCCCGATTTAGTTAATTGGAGCCCGGAGCAAAAACTTCTTTGGGGGCTTCCCTCTGCTTCGCTACTTTAGTAGTACAGAACAGAACTTTATGGAGGTATTTAAATTTTCCACCTCGTTATAGATATATAACAAGTTTCTGAAATGCAGTTTTCTGATTGATTGCTGCGAAAAATTCATATCCTTGCTGACATTATGGCGAAATTCAGCTAAATTTTCGCAATTACGATGGCTCAATTAAGCCAATCAGAAGCCCGTATTTTTGTAAACATTATCGCATTTTGCGATATGTAAACATAGAGGCTTTTGATTTACCAAATTTGTCGTCCATCGTAATTGCGAAACTTTAACTTAATTCCGCCTTAGAAAGCCATGGATTTACGAAATATATAGATTTTTTTTTTCTTTTTTTTTTTTTTTTTTTTTTTTTTTGTGATCATACGATAGATTAATGAAGAAGCTAACATGAAACTGACGGATTTTATACTGTAGTAATATTTTGCTTAAAAAATTTTCATTAAAGGAAACGTAAAATAAACTTTCTATTCGATTTGGGGGCCTCCTCTGATGTGGGGGCCAGAGGCAACTGCCCCTTAGTCAGGTTCTGCTCATGTGTTATTTTAGAAAAGGAATCAAAAAGTAGTTTATCAAAAAGTAGTTTATCAAAAGTTATCAAAAGTTTATGTATATTCTTCACACAGTGAGAAAACGACAGCACTTACAGTAAACGAATTTTTAATACACGTAGTTCTCCACCCGGACATGGGTGCCTGAATTTTGAATTTCAAATTTCTTTATGATTTAGATCATATTTTGTACATATTTAACGAATATTAATTTAACAACCTCAGTGATTAAAGCGAGAAGTGGAAACACCGTTCGAAATGTAACATTTTTATCTCTCCTTCGGAAGACTGCCGCCATTCAGCAAAATACAGGATATTTATCTTTCAACTTTTATCCACAAATTCGGCTGTTTGAAAGTAATGTGTAACCACTGCCTCAGATAAAATATTTATTTTCTCCGTGAGCAACGTGTTGCCATTCAGTAAGAGTATGGTTAATTTTCACTGAATAGCAAACTGTTGATTAAAAAGAAATAAATACAGTTCTTAAAAACATTTGTTTTTCTACTTTTTAATCTGATTGATGCATTTAAATCATGCCATGACTAATTAGAAATATAAAATAATTTTAGGAAATAACACTAGTTGGACTCATTCAAATTATTTTATACTTTTTTCTTTTTATGACTCATTTAAGCTGTGGGCCGCTTCAACGGCTAGTTTTCAAAGAAATAATATAGCGAATATAAAAAAATGTACGGCAACTTGTAGCGCTATGTTGGGAATTCTAAGTATATCCTGTTTAAAAGAAAATTATTATTTTATGTGGTACAAATACGGAATTCTTGAATTTTATGTGGTACAAATACGGAAAAAGCGATTCGTAACAATAAAGCTAAAAAAAAAAAAAAAAAAAAAAAAAGCAAGAATGAGTCCAAGAGCCAGACTAGAAATATGCGATGTTCAGTAGCAACATAGAAAACTTCACAAATCTTCTGGTGCGATGTTAAGATCTGAATTCTTTCGAACATTTTTTCTTTTTCTCTCTATTTTTCTAAATAGAGGGACCGAAAACAACAAGGATCTCGTTCTTTTTTTATTTCTTATTATCTACATTCTTGTCAGGCTCTAAGTAAACTAAACAACAGAAAGGCTCATATTCAATCACTCTGCCATGTCTGGAAATCTGATGTGCCATTCTAGTTTTCCCAAATTCCTCAGTTTGCTTTAATTCATGCAAATACTGTATTCTTACACCAAAACATTTGTTAAATCCATGTTAAACACATGAGAAGTTTGATCTTAGCCAAAGGATATCCAATGAAATACTGAATGTTCCGTTATTTTGATCTTTTATTAAATATAAACTGTTTATTCAAAGTGTGTACTTACATGGGTTATTTTTAGAACATTTTAAATAAATAAATTTTTTAACAAAACCCTTTCGAATAATTTCTTTCAAAGCAAGTAAGTTTCAAAATAGATGATCAATAGTATATGCGAAAGAAAAGAAGAGTCCTTTTCCTAAAATTCAATAACTGATATTTGCAAATAAAACTAAAGAACGCAAGTGTCCGAAAACAAGTGTGATCCTCTGTCGCTTGTCATAAATATTGAAACTTACCTTATAGTTATAAAGAATTATCTTTATGAAATTTAGAAAACTGTGCCTAAAAGTGAAACGAGGTTGTTTTTTTTTTTTTTTTTTTTTTTTTTTTTAATTCTTATCAAATTGCATTAATTCTGATTTGTGTAATCTCAAGCCTACTTTACTGTTGTACACGATAGAATTTACCGCTTTATTATTCTCCAAGTTTTGCCATTGCTCGCTTTGAAATCGTCGAGTTTGTTAATCAAACATTCGTTAAAGTGTTACAAAATATGAAATCGATAATAAAACAAATTCTAAATTAGGGCTCCCAGATTCAGTGGAGGATTACGTTATTCAAAATTTGATACTCTAGGTACCGTTGTTTTATCATAATGACAGAAACATACATACATTTATGCAGATTCTTCATTATTCATTTCTTTAAATATAATGCAGGGTTCTAACATTTGGTGGCACCAATTTGAAAAGTGATTCAGATTTTTACAGTGATTCAACACAAAATTCCGTTTTCAGACTAATAGCCCTTCTGGGATAAATCTCCTTTGGCTGAAAAATAAATTAAACTATTTTAAGATTTTTATATCAAGTCTTCAGAATATTCTAATGTTGCCGTTCCGACACAGTATAACTCGTTTTTCTTCATTCTTGACTTGCAATCGTTATTTTCTTTCATCGCTTGCCGCTCTCACTTGAATTTGTAGAACTGTACAGTCTTTGAAATTTCTATTTCGGGAAATTTTTCAGGAACTATTCGATATCTCGGTATGAATTTTGCTGACCTATTTTCTTGAGACCTCAGACAAATTGGAAGCTTTATCCGGTGCTACAGGCCAACTTATTTAAGAAACTAATCTCCTCATGGGCTAAAAAAAATATTGCTTTTTGTCAGATGCACTACCGAAACTTAAGCACGTTTATCCAGAAATCCGGAAGGCTGTAAATTTATCTTTATGATTCAGCGTTTAAGTGATGTTGCTGGCCACATTCATTTTAAACACATGAATACATTCATACATTCCCACAGATTCTTCATTAATTAATAACAGAGATAAATTATTTTGAAAATTACGCAAATAAATTTAGGAGAAAATTTAAATTTCTGTAATAGGTTTGCGTAAGTTTGACAAAAATTAAAATTTTCTGCTAATTTTATTTTTTTAATATTATTTAAATATATATTCTTAATATGAATTATTTATTAGTTGATTATTCGAACTTTAATTATTCATAGTCGAACTTTTGAAAGATCAATGTTTTCTTACCTTTTCAAGGGCCACTATTTTCCTCTTTCTACTGGAAAGGCTATCCTTTGGTATCAACATAAACGAAAGCTAGATTTGACCAGAAGTAGCCCTATTTATAGGAAGGAAAAGCTGTTCTCTAGAGTTCTCAATATCGGGGTCACGCAACCCCTCGGAAGTCGGTCATCGACGCATCCGAAACAAAGCCCATTCAGGTTCCGAAAAGCCAATGAAGTCAGTCACGTGTCGCTCGATTACTCTCGTATGTAAATAAGCAATAATTTCATTCAACTACAGACATTGGATAAGAAACAAGAGTGGACAGAAATTTTTATTTTATTATTCTTTTCTCTTTTTCCCAATCAATTTTCATTCACATCGCTCGTGTTTTTATTTGATTTTGTCCAGAAATATAAGTGTTGATTTTCTTCTAGCTCATCTTTACTGATGCTTATCATTTTTTCCGCTTTAGGGAGATTGATCATTAAGAAAAAGATTGAATGATAGGTGGCAGTCTCGTTTGTTGGGAAAGATGCGTAAATTGGAAAGCATTGTTCTGTTGTTGCATTTTTGGGAGATACCTTATTTCCAGTATCCGCTCTATATAGGTGACATAAAAACCAAGCAGAAGTTTCAGCACAGATAGGCTTACTATAAGGGATTTGACTTAAACAGGGACAATTTTGAAAAAATATTCACAACCTATATGATAACAGTGAGTTGAAAGAACATCTCTTATTATTAAGAAGTCATTAGTATTTATCACTAATGGGAACTTCCTTTAAAAATTCCCCCTTGTTATTTTTAATGACATCGAAAAATTCACTGCAGTTTAGTTTTTTGTTAATTTTGCAGCTTTGTAAAATTTTTAGGTTGATTCACTTGTTCTGTCTCGTTCTTCGGATCATATGATATTCGTTATTGAGAATATTTTTCAACTGCTGCAAATGCATCTGGCACGCTCAGAATGTATTCTTTCTATTATCTGGGCAAGATCTGGCAATGAAATATGTTTTACTTCATTGTACGAGCTATAGGAAGTATTGTAACTGCGAAAAGTTTCAGGTATAATATTTTAAAGAAGATATCCATTTGACCGCTACCGGATTAGTTTGGACGGCTTTTTCCTTGCTTGATGTCTGTACGTCAGGACAGAATAAAGGACTCGTGTTTTCAAAACAGATTGCAGTCACAATTTTTGTTTATTTAAAGACATAATTATTTCCAGTATTTCCGCGCAGTATGCTGCTGAAAATTGATCAACATAGACAAAAAGTAAGAAATTTTAGAACCAGTTTTATACAAAAACTCAAAAGCAGTGAAATTCAATACCAGTAAATTTCAAAATTTCAAAAAAGTAGAAAATTTTATTTCAATTTTAAATTGAGTAAGAAATTTCTAATTTAATTCTTTTGCTTGATTTGACATTGGAATTTATACCCTGGTTGGAAAGGACAAAATTTTCAGATGAACTTTTATAATTAAATACTTTAGTTCAACAACTAATTTTGGATACAGAACGCAGTGTTTTTTTAAATGGAAGGAGGTCTGTAATTGAGTCTAACATATCTCCCCGTTGATAACATTACATCTGATTTGATTGAATTCCTCTTCTTTTATATTTTTCAGGTTTTATAACTTTTAGTTTCGCATTTTTATTATTCTTATTTGGTATATCTATAGGATATTTTGAAATTTATTGGTATTGAATTTCACTGATTTTACGTCTTTGTGTAAAATTAGTTCTACATTTCTCACTTTTTGTCTATATATATATATGTAATGATAGCACAAATTTCGGAAGCACTATGCGCAGAAATGCTGATTACGTAGATACTTGATGCTTAAAGCGTTCATCCATTTTGAGGAAGAAGCAGTCGAGCTGGATTAAATTCCTCTTATTTATTAAAATTCTCATTTTGTGGCCACAATTCACTTGGCACTCTTATTAAAGAACATTTACAATTTTGATATTATTGCCATAGAAGCGAATGTAGCAGCACACACGTGATTGCAGAAAGGCGTCTGGCCAAGGGAAAAGCACAAGCAAAAGTGACGCATCAGTTCATAAAAAAAAGGGAGGGAGTCAAAAGTTTCAGTTTTTAGTTTTGGTTTACAATTTGGTGATTGGCATTAAGGGTTACGTAAGATCGCATGATTAATTTGAATGACGCAGTTTAGACTTACAGCGCTATTTTTAGGACAGATAGATGAAGTTCCCAAATGAAACAAAAAATAAAAGAGGTTATAGTGAATTAAATTTAGAAGTTTGCTTTCGTATTACACATTCCCCCGTTTCAAAAAAGAGAAAAGGCAGAGCCATAGAGAAGCCTTTTTGAGAGAAATAACTTTAGAGTAGCAAAACATGAGATATATAATTTTGAAACATACAAAATATAATATCAGCTTTTGAACAATAAAATTATAATACGTAAACATTTTGAAGTTCAAAAATTAATTTTAAGCACTATAGTCCTTTAAAATAATTGCACATTAAATATGGGTCAAGTCTCATTAAATATGGGTCCAAATTGTAAAAAGTTCTTGTTCTGGAAGTTTCACATTCGCAATTTTGATACTTTCAGGGAAGGATTTCCAAAAATTTTACCCACAGAATCGCAATTACAACACAAGCTCAAGTCGTGCTAAAAGCTCAAGTCAAGTTGCAGAGCTCAAGTTGTGTTTCATATACCCACAATTATTATTACGAATGGTCATAAATCTTGAAATTTTACGCCACATTAATTTACAAATTTATAAGTAATGCTTTATCATTTGCAAGTGCATGATTGAAATTATGGTTTTACTTTTATTACTACATTTTACAATTTTCTTATTTTACACAAAATAGAAGACCCCATAGCTTTCTCCTAGTACACACATCCAGCTATTTCGGCAAATCCACTTTAAACAGACTCATATATTAAATTTCCATAAATTTCGCGCAGTTCGTACCTGTATTATATGATATATTTAACCTGTATTATATGATTAAATTCTTTTCTTTTAATCTGAAAGGTACATATTACAGATAAAAATACTTCATAACATGAACGTCGCTACACCTTTTTCTTCTTGAAGGGGGGGGGAATATGTAAGAAAAATAGGGAATATGTAAAAGATTAAATTAGCAGCGTAAATTAATTTCCTTTCTCTATTCCAAAAATAGTCACTCTCTGCACTGCGTCATTTCGAGACTTTTCTACGTCATATGATTTTTACGTAATTATGATGATGTAAATGGAACTAAAAATTAACCAGCCAATAGTAATTTTACAGCAATATTAACTGCCCAATCAAAATGCTTTGAAATCCAAAACTAACTCAGTCTGACTTGAGATTTCATCCTGAACATTACGCACTTGCTTTCTACGCTTTGCCTTAGCTGAACTGTAGTCTGTCTGCTTCTTCTTTTTTGCTGCAAATCTATCAAACATGTAAGCCCTTTGGAACAGGCACATTTAATGTGTCGACTTGTGTGTAGCAGCAACATGTTTCTGAAAATAAAACTGAAGATTTAATCTGCATTCGCCTCCAATTTCCTAGTCATTATGGATCTGCACTTCTGCGCCATCCAAAGTCCTCCTCCTGCTCTTCAGTTACTTCTGACTTTGCTTTTATTACATATATATATATATATATATACCCGACCACCTCCTACCCTCCTCAATAGCTTTTATCCGACCTTTATTTTCGGAATCTTTGGTCGTAGTCTTATACTTCCAATAACTTAAATGTTTTAAATGGCATAAATATTCCTTTTTCGGAAATGTCAAATTTAAAAAAATTGGACAAGTAACGAAATTTAACTTTGAATACAGTCTCCCGATTCCCATACTTATATATGGGAAAGCTTTATACTCATTATGAAAAAATAAAATTATAAGAAGTTTGTCTTCCGTACTACAAAATTTAATCGGGATATTTAATTCTGAAATTTGCATTTTTTATGTCATTTTCAACTTTTCTGGAGAGAACTATTAATTTAGTTAGTATAATTCAAGAAAATAAATTTAAATGAAGCTCAGCAAAAATGTGTATAATATATAATAGTATGTAGAAAAAAGTCATGTGTAGTCCGCATCATATTTTTACCTTTATTATATGACTGAAAAAGTTTCTCTCTTATTTTTCACAACCTTTATTTTTCTAAATTTCATCATTAGCTAACCAAAAGCCTTTCTGATCAAGAATTTGATCCATGCCGATTGTATTATTTTACGATAATTCAATTATTGTTTTCTCCTGAAGCTTCAATTGCAGACTATTTTAATTCGCTGTTGTTTATCGAAATTGATTATTGAAAAGATCGTATTCCACCAAAAATGTTTTCCTATAGCTGAATGTAAGAAAGACATCTGTCGTCATCTCGAAAGAAAACACCTAGACAACATGAAAAGGACAAAGTTATTTAAACTGTATACTAAGTATAACGGTATGTTTAAGTTGCTAAATAGCCGTTTTACCAGACGCTGCATTATTTTTCTTCTTGTCTATTCGACACTTTTAAAATTTCTACCAAAGAATATGAACAGAATGACAAACTTGCCGGGACGCAGGGAGCATGTCATGAAACCGGGACAATCCCAGTTAAAGCCGGACATCTGATGAACCTAGAGTGTCCTTTGTTAGTAATAGTATCAAACAGACTTGGTGCGCATCATCGCTTGGTCTGAAGTAACAACAGAGTCTTGAAAAGGTTTAAAACATCCTTTTTATTAAATCAGAATTTGGACATTAAATGCACGTCTCGTGCTTACAAATCAGCGCCCTTTGTTACGATGCATCTTAAAAGTCACAATCAGTTTGAAAGTTAACTAAGTCTAGTACTCAAAGATTACACAACTGATTTTAAATTTTAAGTTGGGTCAGAATTTCTCACCGGCGTAGCAGTTTTAATGTCGGTAGCAATAACGCAAAGTTGATGAACTGCAATCTTATAAGAGCTACCAAAACCTGAGAAATGTAACGTGGCCTCGAAAGACTGAAACACGTTCTGTTCTACAGTCCGAAACCTTCGAATTAAACGCTGTGTAAGTGATTTACATTTCGATGAGGGAACAGAGAAGAGAAGTTACAATAAAAACGAAATTACACTCTG